CTAGCCGCTCAAAGAGCAGCTCGACAATGCAAAATATAGGCTTGAGCTCGACTCGAGTTCGGTCAAACTCGAGCCGAGTCGAGCTTTGACTCGAGCGCCGCCCGACTCGTTTGCAACCCTAACCATAGCAATAAATATTGCTTTATAGCTTGTCACCTGCTAAAATGGGCCTCAAGATTCTCTGTACTACTTAAAGAATTCATTGAAATGTATGAACATGACTATTGAATTACCTACAAAAAACACTCAGTTAAAGAATTCTTTGAAATGTATGAACATGACTATAGAGTTACCTACAAAAGACACCCTTGTATCTTATCTGATTTCACCCAAAAAAGGGAAAAAACTAAACAAATAAATGATCGGACATCCTTCAAAAATTTAGATGCCCATCGATACTCTTTTCAATTCAAAAGTAAACACCAACATTAAGAAGTATTTGCTAACAAAATATAAACCTCTAGGTTCTAACATAGTATTGGAAAAAATTCAAACAAGAGCTAAGGAAGATTTATCCCCAGTAAGCGGGGGTGTAAGCCACTAGGCAGGTTCAAGGTTTCTCTATTGGTGCCTTAATGGATCATATATGGGAGATACTAAAAAGCCTCTTAGGTCATATAACTGCTCGTGCCTGCCAACAGGCCCCGACTCCTTCAATGTGCACCACTTATATAAATTATTTTCAGACCATGAAGTCAAGATCTCTGTATATTCTTGGGGTTATTCTGCGATTTCGAAAGACACGATTCCTAATTTATCTTAAAGCAAATGCTATGGATACTTCAAATAGAAGAGTAATGATCAGAGAGGATTATAATGTTAATCGTTATAATAATTAGTTTATTTCTGTGCTAAAATATCAGAAATATGATTGGTGGTTGTCAAATTAAAGAATTTTGATTAGACTGTAATGCATCCTGATTCGGCAAATTCTCTTCATTAGGTAGTTGACAAGTTCCCTAACTTTACAGCTCGGTTTCTCCATGATGCCTGCGCCTCAATCATAGTGGTTCCTCTACTGCCATGAGGATTAAGATGATGTCACTATTTTAAACCCTTTCCCAGGAATCTTTACTTCTACTTTCCATCTGAAATAGACACTGTTCTACTCTCTGTGCAGCACCTTCTATAAATTCCTTCATTATAATATCTTTTTCCTTTTTTTTTTTTCTACCAATACCAACCGGCCACCAATGTGTGAATATTTGACTCCACCAAAAATTCAAGTCGAAAGATATATAAAATGATTTTCTCAATTATAGATGCATTATAGATGCATCTTAAGGAAGACTAGTACCATTTTCAAAATTTACTATATGCGAACTCAATCACACTAAATCACAGATAACTGCCTGGGAGGATGGTCAGACCTCATGCAAGCTCAGCTACCATTTTCATTAGAGAAAATGGCGCATTGTAAAACTTGATCACATTAGAAGCGGTCTAACAAATGGAAACCAATCTACTATCTCCATGCTTTTTAAACCAAATTAAATATAAATCCCAGATACAGACATTCTACTTTGTCATCCACATTGCCGTTATTAAAACACATGTTTCTTACTGATATTAGCTTAGCTTCCTAATTCTGGAGATATTTTTTTTTTTTTTTTTATTTTGTAGAGGATTTAAATATTGTCTAATCAAGACTTTGAACTGCATTTTAGGAAATAATAAATAATAAAAAACTCGACAACAAAAGACAAGAACTGATATTAAATATATTAGAAGGCAACAAATAAATGTTTTGTGTTTCAAAGTCAGATGTAACAATCAAGCATAGTTACTAATGGTGAACGGTGAGCCGTACAATCTGCTCATGGCCTGGACTTGTGGGGCGAGGTCATGGAACTGCCTCGTGACTATGAGGGCACAATTGATAATCAAATGAATAAAAACTATCAGCATAGACCGTTGTTACCTTTGTTTGCAAAGGATGACATAATTGTATTGTAATTTTGGTATTTGCCTTAAATACTAAACCCTAGTTTTGTGTCCTATACAATGTCATGTGCAATTGATTGGAAAGGTAGATTTTAATTAGTAAAACACCTTAATGGCATATGCATTTCAGACAATGGTGAAGGTACCGCAAGTCGCAATGCACACAAGGCCACCACTGGGAAAAATAGGTCTCCCTAGGCTGTGGCAATGCGATTTCAGACCACAATTGTTGCCTCTGGACATGACGTCACTATTAATAACTATGATAATTAGACAGTAACAAAAATAGCAGTTCCACTAAAATAATAGAAACTACATCAAGAATATCCAAATCTCAAACAAGCAGGGGGGGGTAGAATAGCAAACAAAGACCCAAAATGTAAGAACTTTCTAAAAGGAATGCTTCACTTAAAAGTATACATTAGTTGTGTCAAAATTATATACACGATCCAGGGATGGCTCAATAGATAACGTGATAAATTTGACATGCTGTTATTCTGCACTTACGACTCTAAATTCAGGCTCTGGGAATAAGCCAAAACAAATTTATTATTTAAACTCCTTGACAATATTCTCTGCAAAGTCTTTAAGATCTCCATATTTCTCAATCTCGGTTTTATAAGGTACATCGCTACTTGGAACCAATATTTTTGCTGCATAACCCTAGCAGAGATAAGGGCATAGCCTTTAATAGTCACGCTCATTGATGAAAATCTTGCATTTAACCCAATGTGAAAGTTCTACAAGTTCACAACATCTTAAAACACATTTCCCTACTGTTCCACATAAACAGTTATGATAAGTCAAAGTTTCATCTTCAAAATTCTTCTGACATAGCCATCCTTATTGGAACACTATCAGCAAGCACTCAGCCCAGCTTTACGCCGATTAGCTCAAACACGTTGCAACTATAAACACAAGGCCACAGTACAAGCTCTACCAGGCTGTAGAGATAATCTTCACCCAACAGCACATAAAATACACATAAATCACACAACTAATAATCTTCCACGAGTTCACAAACAGCACTCGAGATTCAGTATATTATAAAAATGCCGCTGAGTTAGAAAATGGGGAAAAGAAATTACGGACCTCTACGAAGAAGCCCGACCGCCTTCGCAAAGTGGGGCCACATCGAAATTCTTGGACGGATACTTAGCAGTGACGACGCCGACCTCGAACACCAAATCCTTCCCGCTGGACCGGATGCCGGTGATGCCCCACCACCTGAAGAACGCCCTAACGGTGATGCCGTCGAGCTCGGCAATCCGATTCTCGACTATCTTGCCCGTGATCCTATGGGAATAGGTCGCCAGGTAGTTGTCGGGAGGCAGAGTCACCTTGCACGCATCTCCCAGCGTGACGGAGAACAGGCCGGAGGTGCGATTGAGGGTGTACGACTCGACGTTAGCGGGGAGAAGGCCGATCGGGAAGCCGTACTTCGTTAATTCACCGTGGGCGCTGCCGCTGTCGGCGGAGGCCGAGAGGGCGAAGAGATGAAGGCATAGGAGGAGGAGGAGAGAGAGAATCCGAGGCACCGCCATGGGAGATTTTGGGTGAGAGGATAATTAGAATCAGAATTATTTGTTGGATGAATGGATAAAAACGGTTTTTCAGTTGTTTATCTTTGACCCAATTCCATAGATATTTATGCCTAATTAATTGGTGTTGAATCAAAATAAAGTAAGTTATTTTAATAGTAAAAGATTTTTTTTTTTTTTTTGTACAAAGCAGGAGGCAAAAAGCCTAAAACCATTAGACAGCTATACTCCGCGGGTACCAATAAGGTCATGTTGTAGCCACGATTTAACTGCCGACGGTGGATCTTGGAGCCGTTGATACCCACTAGGACAATGATGGGCTAAAGTCGCCAAACAGTCGGCTGCAAAATTGGCCTTCCTATAACAATGAGACACACTGACCACCCAAGCTCGGCCCAGCAGCTCCCTAATTGCCCGAACCAGTCTGCCATGGATGCCGAGATTCTCAGTCGAATTCCCCGTCGCCATCTTTTAGCCCGAACCTTACGGAAACCCAACTCCCAAGCTAACATCAGCCCGTGAAAAAGGCCCCACAACTCCGCTCCGGTAATGGAACAAAACCCAATATTCATCACAAACCCCCAAGCCATCTACCATTAGCATCACGAGCCAGACTCCCAGTAGACGCCATCCCACTCGAAGGTAGAAGCGATCCATCTGTGTTGATCTTAATCGTACCATCTTCAGGGGCCTTCCATCGAATGAAGTGGACTCCTCTACCCAAACTGAAGCCGCCTAAGTGGGTCTCGACGGAGTTGTTGAGGCGGATCCCATGAACAAAGGAGCGGACTTCCCGAATTTTATTAGCTACTATGAAATCTTTATCCGAAAAATTTTTTTCATTTCGTCCCCGCCACACTTGCCATACCGTGACACCAAAAACCATTTCCCAAACGACATGTTGAAAGTTGAAACATGAACATGCAAGTGATTAAAAATAACTTTTTAAATTGTAATTTCCAAAAATAAAGAAAAAGCAATTTGCGTGAGTAAACTTTTTTCTCTCTATATTTGTTTCTTTATAGATCACGACACTCTCTATTTTCCTTCTTCTCCGACCAGCTATCTGGCCTTTCCTGCCATTGGTGGAACGATTCAAAGACCTTTTTCTGACACTTGGATGAGACTAGCATAGCCATGGGATGAAATATTTATTGATCTTTCGATTTCATCTTTATGGTCAAAGTTGAGTTTGAGTTTTGATTCTTCGTTAAATATGATTAGTTGTTACAATAAACTAAAGTTTTAAAATTTGATAATTCATGTGTACGACTTTTCTTTCATTTTTAGAATGGATGTCCTAGAGTTGGTTTGTGCTTATGAGTTATGCAAAATGTAGGAGTTTTTTCGTGGGTGAGTGTCCTAAAATATAAGGGCGTGAATGGTGTTGGACGATGGTGAGGTTTAGGTGTGTGTTGTGGTTTTTTT